TAGTGGATTTTTGGTTATATACGTAACAAAACATTTTCCATTTTAACATTTTTCACGTGTACACCTTAGTGACATTAATTGTGTTCATCATGTTGTTCAGCCATGACCATTATCATTTCTAGATTTTTCCATTACTCTTCACAGAAGCTCAATGTCTCCTAAGCAATGAATTCTCCTTCCCCCCTCCCTCCTGCCCACTCTAGAAATCACTAATAAATTTTGGTTTCCATACACTTACCTCTTCTCGATATTCCATTTAAGTGGGTTTATACAATATTTGTCCTTTTGTGACTAATTAATTTCACTTAGCATGTATAGCTGCATTGTTTTTAATAGTGAAAACTTGGAGACAACGTCAATGTCCAGTGAATGTCCATCAATAGGGAATGACCTGATAGAGGTAGAGCCCAATGGCTCAACCAAGGAATACGATATAATATTTAAAAAGAATATGTTAGTCCTCTAATAAGTTCCCTGTTGTTGTTGTTAGGTGCTGTTGAGTCATCTCTAACTCATTAGTGACCCTATGAGCAGCAGAACAAAACACTGCCCAGTCATGTGCCAGCTCCACGATCCCTGCAATACCTGAGCCCATCATTGTGGCCACTGTGTCAATCCATCTTGTTGAGGGCCTTCCCCTCTTTTGTTGACCTTTCACTTTACCAAGTGTGATGTCCTTCTCCAGGAAATGGTCTCTAATAAGTTCCCTAGGTAGTGCAAACAGTTTGCACTAACTACTAACCTAGAAATTGGCAGTATGAACCCACCCTGCAGTACCACATAGCAAAGGCCTGGCAGTCTACTTCTATAAAGATTATAGCCAAGGAAACCCTATGGAGCAATTCTACTCTGTAACACAGGAGGTCACCAAGAGTCAGAACTCACTCAGCAACAATGTGTTAACACTCTAAATAGTACATGAGTAGATCTCCAAGACATGCTACTTATTGAGTGAAGGAAGCTAGCTGTGATACCATTTATGGAAAAAAAAGAAAAAGGAGAAAGAGTACCACATATTTCCCACAGATCCATATATATAAATGAATGTAAAGCAAAAGGTTTGGAAGGATGGACACAAAAAATAATGTCATTGTTGTGGTTTGGTGCTGTTAAGTTGGTTCCAACACATAGCGACGCTAC